TTTCGAGGACGTCATCGCATAAAACAAATACAACAAAAAAAAAAAAAAAAAAAAAAAAAAAAAAACAAAACAAAACAAAAAAAAAAACGACGGCTTATAAAAATACATCGTAGACGCGTATAGGTATAGTGTTTATTATTATTATTTTTTTTTAACGGTTTTTTATTATGGTTCGTTTTAAAACGGCGAGAAGGGAGTGAACAAAAAAAAAAAAAAAAAAAAAATAAAAAAATAAATAAATAACGATCCTATAATAAAAATAACGCGATAAATTACAATTTTAAAATATTCCTCTGTACGTAATCCGCGGGGGACGTCTATAAGTGGGTATTACTATGTACATAATATTTTTTTTTATTTTAACTAAACACGAAACGCGTTAAAACTATAACGACGAAACCGCGGCCGTTATCATTATATAAATAGGTTTTTGTTTTGTTTTGCGTTTTTTTTGTTTTTTTTTTTGTTTTTTTTTTAATGTTATTCGCGTACAGTCGATGGCGTGCGCCTCGGGTAAAATACCGGTGTACCCGATGCTGTGTAAATATTTCGTAAATGTATGCCCGTATAGGTTAGCTCCAGTCGTTAGTGGCGCTCGCAGTGGCAAGCGGAGTAACTATTAAAAAACGATAGCTGCATCGGAATCGGGTCCCGGATCCAAGCGGTTTTCGATAGGTATAGCACTGCTGTTGTCAGGTCCCGAATTCATTTCGGGTTGAGTTTCCATTTCCGACGGGTTACATACTATATAGTCGGGTCCGAGCTTTTGCAAGGAACGCAAACAATTTTCCTATTTATTTTTACAGACCCGGGAAACGAGAGAAACGACAAAATATTACAGGTTTTACAATCTCCGGGTTATGTTTATCAATGGATTTTTTTACGAATGCCGTAATATTTTATTTTATTTTTCCTCGACTTATTAGTGATTAGGTTAATCACCGTCGACTCGGGACCCGACCGGTGTACAACTGCTCGAAATCCGGGACGGGACTCATGTAGCACCCACGGCCACCAGCGACCCAATTAGTACGGCGCCCGCGTTGACCCGGCGCCCGACCGGAGTCAATTTTCGAACGCGGGATGCGACGAAAATGATAATTTTAGAACGCCGCAGTATTACGGCAATACCGCGGTAACCGCCGGAACTACGCCGAAACGCGGCAGGTCGATATTGTTTACCGCGTTTATTAAAACGGCACGGGTAGCGGAATTTAAATTGCGCATTGCATATTATATCGCGTGCACCCGGTAAATCGGAAACGAATGAAGCCGGTAAGTCGCACACTGACCGTAGTATCCGTACGGGAAGAGCGGCGCACGTCGCGACGGCGTTGTTAAACTCTACGACGACGGCGAATTTAAAATCAATTCCGTACGCGATTAATGCGATTTTCACACGATTTTTTACCCGCCCACGTTTACCAGAGTAAAGGTGTAGGGTGGTCGCGGTACCCGCGCAAGTATAGAGACGAAACGCACTGCGTGCAACCCGAAATAAAATTTACATTTCGAGTTTGGTTATGATACAAACGTCTTACGAGATACGGAATAGTATTAATTCGGATGTTGAAATTACCGAAACTTCAGCCTGTGTGCATACACATACACGTAGTGCTGGACTGAGAACAAACACACGTCAGACGGTGTTAAAGTTTGAAACGGATCAATACTCGATGGAGTGATTTTATCCGTAAACCGTATAAACGGCGCGTTTTTTAGCGCTAAAATCACGGATAGTCAGATTGATATTTACAAAAATAACGATAACGATCAAGTCGATTTGCTACACAATATATCGGCGGTACAACCCGTAGATCGTATATTGCGGTAAGGTTCATAAATCGTAATGATTATTGATGATATTATAATTCGTTTTCATTCCGTTTCGATTATCGTTTATTACGATTTCGTTGTTTTATTGGACAGTTTTCCATATTTTAAACCACGCATCTATAATATATTTATTATGTATACGGATTTCCATTGACCCGAAAATATTATGTTTAACGCGGTCCACTGAGGGGTAATAGGTATTTGAATACATTTTATATTTACTTAAGTTTTTAAAATGTTTACTAATCGTGTGTTTTGAAATGTCAAGTCTTTGTTTTTATACCAATTTTGTGACTGAACAAAATTGTTTTATTTTATTTTTATTTTATTGTTTATTACATACATGAATCTAAATTATTTTTCAAAACTAAAATTGGATTGCTAGAAGTAAGTTTATTTTCCGTCGTCGTGTTGCTTAAGCGTGCGAAGCACAATCGATTCGCCTTCACGAAAAATAAGTAAAGATTAAATTTTATCACATTATTCACCCAGAAAAATAAAAAAAATCACGAATCAATTTTCCCGTATTCCCCCTATCAGGTGTTATTTACCTGAAATTTTTATGCGATATTGCGTCCGGGGATTCTAACGAGGTTATAAAAACCAAAAACAGA